GCCTGCACATGAAAAATCCACTGTGCTCACCCAATTTTTGGTTTCCACCTGTGATATTCCACTTCAACCCCTGCTGATAGCCTCAAACCCAGCCTCAAAGTATCCCAAGTGACTGTATTACTACTGCTGGTGTTGGTCTCAAGCCTGGATAATGGATGGTTGCATCAGGAAACACATCTGGAATTAAATTTTGCCAAATCAAACATGAGGATCGATCTGTAGCAGGATCAGCCGAAGGCACCGTTACCCCATAGCTTAGCAGCTAATTCCTATGGCTATAAACAAAGCAACAACAGTAATAATGTGTAAATAAACTGATATTTATATGGCTTTTTTTTTGCGTATTTTCCTGAGCATCCATATGAAATTCTAGTATTATGACTATCCTGGTACCTAAATGATTTTAATGGGAGTAACACTCATTAGTTAAGCTCATATTTCTTTTTTCTATCTTCTCTTCCTTTTTAGACTGTTTGTGTGATTAGCATGCTGAGCCAGAGCTTCAATGAATAAGAAGCATGGATGGCTTATGTTTCACTGCCCCTGCTACCTAGCGAACACAGAGCGCCGGGGGGGAGCTGTCTGAATTGGTTTTTCATTAGGAGTTAATGATGTGATAATCTCTCTAACAGTATCCAGGCCTTAGACCCTGCAGCCTGCAGTACTCCTCTAATCGAGTGTGTATGAGTGTGTCTGCCGTCCAACATACATATGTTTAAAAGAATGGACTGTATTTGTGAATGTGAATCATTATAACCCAGTGTGGATGGTGAGCGTTATACAGTCAGGGTTGAGATGGATGGGCAGTCATCACTGAACCACACATGCATGCAAACATGTGCACAGATCAGACCTGATCTGATCTCTACATGTAACCCCGCTCACCCACCCTCACCCCATCACACCAGCTTAAATCTTACATGTTAATCTCCCTCCTTCTCTCTGTCTTTCTCTCAAACACGCACAAACATACTCGCTTTCATTTTCCGCTTGCAGAGACCCCTGCTTCATTTTCTGGTCATGTGCACCCATTGCGAGGGGGCGAAGCGGACACAAAGTGAAACAGGGAGCAGAATGGGGAGGAGAGGAGGCGAGGCTGGAGCTGCGGCCTGAAAGGAGGCGGTGGGAGGTGTCTAATTGTCCCACGCTGAAAGGGACAGTTAAAAGGAGAATCTTGTTGCAAAAGCTGGTGGGCTGGGCTGGAGGCTGGTTAAGTGCTGGTGGTGTGTGTAACCGTGTGTGTGTAACTGTGTGTGTGTGTGTGTGTCTGTGTGTGCTTGTATGAGTGTGAGTCTAATGAGGAGGAGGATGACTGATGACCAAAGGGAAGATGATACTGAAGAGGATGAGTTTAAAGGTTAAAGAAATAAATTAAAATTGCAGTTAAGTTAGTTTTAGAGCAAAAATATTAATATCAACACTCAACACGATCCAATATTGTAATTAGCTAATAAAAAAGCTAATTAATTCCAAAAATGTATAACTAACAGCGTGTATAGTGTCACTTTCACTCCTGGTTTGCACTCACACACCCTGAAAGACATCCAACAAAACAGATGTTATAAACTATGTTGCATGGTAGAAAATCCAATTAATTTATATTTAAGACAGTACTGCTTATTGACAAAACATATTATACTATCTAAGACAATGCTGGTATAATTTTTAATGTGATGAAAATGCTGTCATACCATGATAATATTGATATAAAGCATTTGCTTTCCCTGAGAAAACGAGACAAGGCCTAACATGTGAGGCACATGGGCAGTATATGTAGTGCCTTAACCTTGCTTTTTTACATTTTTATTATGTGTTACATTGGTGTGCATCATGAATGATCCACTAATACAAATAAGCCCCTTGTTCTAGTGTACCTCCAAGTATATGTTGGTAAATATAATTACACCATAATATCAAGTAAAAGAGGTGAAAATTCCATTTGTTTCTTGGGTTGTATTATAAAGTATTACTAAAATTTCCAGAGGAAACTCTACCTACCTTGGCTACTTTTGTACTTATGCTGTATCACTGCTATTTTACAATAATGTTGCTGCTGCTTTCATCTGGTGGTGATAGATTTACACTTTGAGTTAGGTCATGTGTCATCAGTGACAGTAGCTCAAAAAGAAAAAACATTACTTTTTTTTTATATAGTCATAAAAATCATTATCACAGATTTTCTTAAACTATCTTATGGTTTAAGGGTACATCACCCATCCCTACCACCTGTACAGGCCATCCAACAAATTCAAGTTCTTTAATCCATATCACTAGTCATCGCCATGCACCTACCAGGTAGTCATGCTAGTTACCTCAATCTAATGCAATCTAACAGCAGTTCATGAAGTAATCACAATCTCTAATCTACTGAGTCGTGTCCCCGAGCATAATTTTTCATTGGGCTAAGCTCATATATATAGATTCATGTGCCATCACTTCAAATGCACTAAGCTACTAGTAACTGAAGGGTTAGCTTTAGGTCTGTGAAGGTCTGTTAGCTTTGGCTTTACTGACCTCGTCCAGATCAGGTGCTTCATTACCAAATGGCATGATTTAATTTGACTTACTGTTGTAGAGTATATCAGCAGAGAGGACATTTTTGGGTGGGCATAGACACCAACACTGTGGGGTTGTTGGTTCTGATTAGCAAGCTAGCTGTAGCGCTACTAACACAAGATGCAGGATGTAGCTGGTGTTAATAGCTTTGCTATGTACAGCTCAAGTCTGTTGTCCTTAGGCCAATGCTCAGGTATACAGTACAATATATACACTGATCTCTCAGTTGTGTTACAACACATCTGACTTAAACGCAGCAGTGCATCAAGGAGTCCAAGCATGCACCAAAAGGATGCTGTCATTTAACGGTCACAGGTGTTTACTTGATGTTTGACAAAGAACTGTTGAAGATGTAAAAGATTTCTTGCACTGATATGTAGCAAAGATTCTAAACTAAATTGTTTTCCAAAATTGTTTTCAATAAGGAAAACAAGAATTGCACACATTGATCAGTCGTGCATTGGGATGAAAAATATGTGTCTGAAAACTTCATTGCTTCTGTTTGATAAAAACATGCCTCAGAAAGCTTTGAGATGCCAATTTTGTATCAGAGTGTGTTCAGACAGAGAGAAATAAGAACATGAAGGTATGTTTCTTCATTACTGAAATGTTAATTTGACTTGTTTTTGCCTAATTAACGCCAGTGTCTTCCAAGAACAAAACAGCCCGACAAATATTAATTAGGACCTCAATATTCATGTTGGCAGAGATGGTTGTGAGGTCTGTAATTAACGAGATTTTAATCGTTTGATCATCTCCTTAATTAAAGGCTTGCTATAATTTGAAGGTTTGTTTACTTTTCACAAAATAGGAATGAAGAAATCTTATTGATATTCTTTTACCCACAATTCACCCAAAGAAAACTGAGAAGGCAAAATCAAGCTTTTAAAAGTTGCCATAACATATCTGAGAGGTGCGGTACATCTTTTACTTTTCAAATGTTGACCTATCATTTAGAAAAATAAATCTCAGAACTACTTTTTTTTGCTTGGCATCACTGTGAGATATCAATACTCCTGTTGCTGTCTTCCATCTGCCACTCAAACACTTCAAACTAAGCAAAATCTCTTTTAGTTAAACTTCAAACTGTGGTTTGATTTTGTCTTTGATGGGTAAAATGAAAGGAGTATACATCCACAGTTATTCATGCATGGATTGTATTCAGTAAAATGATGTGTAGGCAACGTTTCTGTAAGAAAAACAAACTCTATCCACTGTCAGCTCAACTATTTACAAGAATTTACAAGTTTCTTTTTTATTTTAGATTATATTAGCATATAGAAACACATTTGTCCTCCTGAAGAAGGAAGAAATATAGATTGAAAATCATTCACCACAGTTAATAAGCCACATGGCAGGAGCCCAATGCATTTAGGCATGTACATATGGTCAAGACGACCTGCTGAGGTGACTGAATGTGGCGTGGTTGTTATTTCAGACACTCCTGATCTAGTGGTGTTTTCCACACAACCATCTCTAGGGTTTACAGAGATTGGTCAGAAAAAGAGAAAATATCTACACAGTAGCCATTCTCTGGGCAAAAATGCCTTCTTGGTGAATAAAGGGAATAGTAGCTGAAATAACTAATTGTTAAAACCACATCTTTCTGAACCTTTAAGCACATGTGCTACAACAGCAGAAGATCATACTGGGTGACCCTGTAAGAGCAAGAAACTGAGGCAACAATTTCAGGCTGGTAGTGGTGGTTTAATGATGACACACATTGTGCCTCACCAACTGAACATTGTTTAAATGCCACAGCTTACCTGAGTACTGTTGTTGGTCATGTCCGTCCCTTTATGACCACAGTGTACCCATCTTCTGATAGCATCTTCCAGCAGGAAAACTCGCTATGTCATAAAGATCAGATCATCTCAAACTGGTTTCTTGAACATGATGATAAGTTCACTGTGCTCAAATGGCATCAAAGAATTATAGCAGTCCAACACTGTACTAGCAAGGTGTAACTTATGAAGTAGACAGTGAGCATATAGTTACTTGATTGCTACAAATGAACGGCTCTAGGTTTCTGTTCCCACTTTTATATAGATGTTAATGGAGGTCCATAATAAATAAAGTCAGAATAACTCTCAGCAACAACTGTAATACATTTTTAGGTTTGTGTGAGCAATTATATTTGAACCATCAGTAACTATAATATAATTGAATTTTTATTTATTTAAAGTTACTGTCAGGTTTCTGTTTTTTTGTTAATTTGTTAAAGTATGTGGCATGAACCAATGCCACATACTGTCACATTTTACTTCTTTGATAGTCCTTTAAAGTGAAAGTTAGCATCAGATACAGAAGAGATGGCACAAAAGACAAACTCTACGAGTAAAAAAAAATTCTACAATATAAAACACACAACCCAACTTTTGTTAATATGCCAGCAAAGAAAAAGGTTTTAAAGCCATTTTAAATCAAATTAATTGTTAGTGTCTTGTAGCCTCAAGCAGTTCGTTTTAACAAAATTGTTCAGCAGTAAATGTTAGATTTTGGTGATTTTTGAAAAAATAATGTTAACAGCTTCATCTTATTTATGATGATATATTTTGGGTTTCAGGAGAGTCCAGGTGAAGCTCTAATCTCTTAAAGCCAAAACAACACTTCTAATGAGTTCCTGCAACACATAAATAAATGTGTTAGGTCACAGAGTGAAGACTCATATGCCCACCTCCACAGACCAGGTAAGTGTTTACAGTCTTTACTGAAGCAAAGCATGGTTTGATGTACAGATGATTACTCCATGTGAACTAAAGCAGAAAGAACACAAAGAGGCAAAATTAGGAGACAAAACATGTCTAACTCATGCCGATCTTTCCCGTTCTTCATTTCAGAGTATGTGAGAACTCAACACATAACATTTCATTCTTTTTTATACCAGTGACATCAGCTATTATTTTTGGCGCTGACTTTTACCTTCTTTATTGTCTCAGGTATGTGTGTCCTTGTTCTTTAAGGTAAGAGATACTCAGCCAGTCATGTGTCACGGACACTCCGTGCTGACCACAAACTACCAGAGAGAAGCCTCCAGTCACTGTGGACTGTCCTGGGACTAGTAGAGGTGGTCTAGTAGCTGGAGCCTCCCAGGAGGTAGATGAAGAGGAGACTGGTTGCTACTGGAGATCATGTTTAATTTTTCCAGATGTTTTTACATTTAAATGGAGGATCTGACTCAAACTCTATGGGCCTTTAGAGATCATAACAAATAATATCTTCTGAACTTTTAGTTGTCTGTCGTCTTCTACTGGATCCTATCCCAGGTGCACCAGGCAGGATGCAAGATGAACAGGTAAATAGCAACAGGTCACTTGCAAAGTCCACATGCATAGAAAGCCCCTCAGCCAGCTGATGGGTTCAAACCTGGGACCTTCTTTCTTTAAGGTGATGGTGCTAACCACCAAACCATTATGCTTCCGGACTTTTAGCACAACATATTTGTAATGCAGTAATACAGTATATACTGTAAGGAAAATAATGTGACTATAAAACAATACATCAAAGCATATAAATGCTTTCTAGTAGACTCTATTCGAGTAGAAACATTATAATAAAATTGTAAATGACCTATTATGGACTTAACTATGGTCAGTAATCTAAGCAGACCTCCTATCTCCTGCTCTTTGGTGACACATCAGAAATGTTTCTATATATCTCAGTTATTTAAAGGCATCTCTGTTTACATGCACACATGTGCAACACTCAATTTTCTCATGACCCAACGTATGATTGCATGGACCTGTGATACCTAATACACATACGTTACAGAATGGTATATGTACAACATTCAAAACTGCAAATATAGACAGCTTTTAAAATAGTAATAAACAGTGACGTCTAAGATAAAAAAGCAATAGCGCTGGCTCGATTTGGGTCCCTGTGATTGTGTCCTTTTGCTGCCCAGAGAGCTGATGTGAGAGGGCAGAGAGCCACTTCTCAAAGAGAGGAAGAAAAAAAATGTGAGAGGGTTTCAAGAGGAGAAGCAAGCCTGACCAGAATCTCGTGAGAAGGAGTACAGAGAGTGAGAAAGAGTGTGAGAGGAGGAGAGAGGGGGAGAGATAAAAAAGATACGAACAGAGGAATAAAAGGAAAACGAGGAGCTTACGCAGTGAAAAGAGCACATTATGGGCGACCTGCTGCGACAGTAGTGTGGGGAACGGTGAATAACTGCCTTCATTTAGGCCAGTGTCCTGGTGGTGTTGAATCAGAGGCCTCAGATGGACACACACACTCACAAACACTAAAATACATAAGCAAAAAAAATACCCTTTGCAAAGCATGTGTTCCTGCACAAATTGATATCTGACACACACACACACATGCTAACAGACCTGCTCTGCCCCTCTCATTCACACATTTCTCCACATTGGCCGGATTAGGAACACTTTCTCTTGGGTGTGCGAGGCTGCCCCACACACAAAGAAACACTTGGGGACAGGATTAGTAGGCTTACAGGGGATTCACATATGTCCAGTTCAAGCAATTGGTATTCAAAGCTTTACACTATCAAATGCCACCAAGAGAGAGCAAAGCCGACCAGCGCTTTTCTTTGCATTGGCAGCACCTTTATGAGAGGGGCTCTTTTGCTGGGCCAACAATGAGGCTGTGAATACACATTTTTACTGTTCTACCAGGGGGATCTCATTGGTGAAGGATGAAGCACGGAGCAGAGTTTGAGGCAGACTTTATTATCGGGGGTTTGAAGTGCTGGGTGGGTGAGAGTGCAGACGGATGGATGGATGGAGGCACGGATAGACAGATGGGGAGATAGGGATGCTGAGGTGGTTGGTCAGAGGAAGAGTGCTTCAGTTACTTCCACATGTTATTGTTGGTGGCCCGTTCCCCCACTCCACCTCGACAAAACAGATCTGGAGTAGACTCTTCAGAGTGGAGAGAGCACTCTCAGCTGCTCAATATAGACAATACTGACTCAATTTACACCATTCGCACTATATTTTAATGCACATTGAAAGATCAGCTTTTTGCTTCAGTGGATAAAAACTAATGTTTTGAATGTTTTCACTGCGTGTTGACAATACAGAATTTTTATGACTGCTTTTAAGATTTAGTAGTCTTTCTTCCCTTTTGTTTTTGACACATCTGTGGTTTGGCATGTCTTTCCATTTTGTCGTTTAAAATTTTTTAGACGTGGTTTGTGTGCATGGCTTGCATTTGGCTCATATTGTAGCCTATAATGAAATTTAATTGATTGCTGAAATGATTTCAATGTTTGAATGTTTTTTTCAGTAGTATTTATTTTTAAGATAATAATAATAATAATAATAATAATAATAATAATAATAATAATAATAATAATGATAATAATAATGTGCTTTCAGCACATGGAAGCTAGAAGTTGGACCATGAGGCACAGCCTTGTAAACTCTGACATCCGCATGCTGCCATATGGCCAGCAGAGTGCCGAGAGTCGGAGCCGGCATGTTACCTCCGTCCCAGCGGAGGCCCTGCACCCCTGCGGCAGCACTAACCGCTGAATGGGAAAAGCAATTTCCCTTCCCATTCCTCGTCATTCCCTCAGGCGGCCACCGGCGGAACCTCGGAGACTTTGGCTTAAATTTTGACCGTCCGATACAAAGTGAACAGCGTGTGTGTGAGTGTGTGTGAGGCTGATGAGGTTTTCTTCTTTTACAAAAATGCAGCATGCTCTCTGCAGTTGCGTTTGACAGCAATTTTAAACGGCTCTCTTTTCAAATTGTTTTTCTTCTTTCTTGGGATGTAATTGCGGTGCGTGTGTGCGTAAAGTAATGGGAAGATCTCATAATAAACCGCGTGTGCTTTGTGCAGTAAAAATCACTAAGGAAGAAAACTGACCGGTTTCTCCAGGAAGAGCAACTTTCCCATCCACGAGAGAAGTGGAGGGGAGAGGAGAGGAGCGCGGTGCCCCCCGACAGTTTTCTGACAATGGCAGTGAATGGTTGCGCACCGCGGTCACTGGGACAGTCAAAGCACACCGCCCCCTTTCTAACGGGCACGTCATCTTCCTAACTAGGCGTTATGAATAGGAAAGCCGCTTTTGTCTGTCCGCGCGTATAAATACCCACAATCAGTGTCCCCCTCACCGCAGAGTTACAGAGACACACGCAGAGTGAAAGTCGACAGACACTGACGCAAAGTGGGAACCGATGTGATAAGGACAGAAGCACGGGACAGGAGGGATACAGGCAACATCAGGTGACCAGAGTGACTAAAGGCTTCGGGAAAAAGAGAGAAAGGGAGAGGCAGGGAGTAAAAGCTGAGAGGGGAGAGTGTGGGGAGAGAGTGAAAGTGAGAGTGAGAGAGAGAGAGAGGGAGGAAGCCAGCAGCGACCTCCTACCCAACAACCTCGGAAGCAAACTCATAAAATGAATTCAGACTCCAGCCCAAGCAGCAGAGCCTCATCCCCGGACATGGACGGCATGTTTCTCCGTGACCACCACCCGCATCACCACCACCATCATCACCACATTGGCTCCTCCGTGTCCTCCTCCACGCAGAGCGGCGAGCAGCAGCGCCAGAAGATGAGCGGGGGCGAGCACCTGCGCTCAGGAGAAGCAAAGTCCGCGTCTGTGGGAAGCAGCAGCAGTAGCAGCAGCAGCAGCAGCAGCAGCAACAAGTATAAACTGAAGAAGCAAGTCACCGAGGAGGAAATGTACCAGCTCCGTCTCAAGATCAACGGCCGGGAGAGGAAGCGCATGCACGACCTCAACCTGGCCATGGACGGCCTACGCGAGGTGATGCCCTACGCGCACGGGCCCTCAGTGCGGAAGTTGTCCAAGATCGCCACGCTGCTTCTGGCCAGGAACTACATCCTGATGCTCACCAGCTCCCTGGACGAGATGAAGCGGCTGGTAGGGGAGATATACGGAGGGCAGCACTCAGCCTTCCACTGCGGCACGGTGGCGCACGGCCCCGGCGGACACTCCGGAGGTCCCGCCGCTGCCGCCGCTGCAGCAGCCGCTGCCGCTCACCAGGTGCACCCTCTTCTCGGGAGCGCGCTGTCTTCTTCCACGTCCTCCACTCTGTCCAGCGCGCTGCCGGGGCTCACGTCCATCAGAGCACCCCATTCCCTGATGAAGGGCGCTCCAACTGCGCCCTCGGCCCTGCAGCTGGGCTCCGGTTTCCAACACTGGGCTGGGCTGCCGTGTCCCTGCACCATCTGCCAGGTGCCTCCGCCTCCTCCACACATCCCCATCACCTCCACCGGCCTCACGAGACTCTCAGGGGAGGGGAAAGACGGGATGAAATGATGCCCGTGTGTCTGATGAGCAGCAGAGACTGAGAGATGTAATGATGTTTGTAAATAGATAATTCAGGGCATGAGGGGGAATTTGGCCTCACTGGTGCATGTCGTTGTTTAGTCTGTTTTCTTGTTTGACGTATAACAGAAAAGCCTTTTTCCTCCTTGTAACAAGGACTTGGACTATATATATATAAAGACTACTGATTTTTGCCAGTTGATGGTTAAAAAAAAAAGGAAAGAAAATACACACCGCGCTCCTCCTGTGTTTAACTGAGTCTTCGTTGCACATGACATTGTGAAGGGTGAAGGAGGCAGCATGAACATTTTAATTCTGCTTCTTTCTTTTTCTTTTCTTTTTTTTAAAAACATTTTTTAAATATATCAAGCGTCATTTTGTGAAAACGAAGAATGCTCTGTGCCTTGTACCAAGGATTTTAAACTTGAGTTCTATGTAAAAAATAAATAACAACATGTTTGTGTTTGGCTAAAACGATTGTGCCACCACGGAAATTTGTTTTAAATTTTTTTAAGATTTATTTTAATCGTGTGGCTCACTGTGTGTCGATTTGTGCCCTGATTTCTATTGATTTCTATTTTGATTTTAACTTCTGTTTTTTTTTTTTGCATGATGGTGTAATTATCACAGCATGATTGTTTTTGCTGAAATGAATTTGTTATGCCCAGAGACCCCGTGTCTTTATTTTTGTACATTGTTGATGACTGATGAAATATTTATTATCGCCCAGCGTCACTGGATGAAATTTCAATAAAACTGGAATTATGAATCATACCCAATTTATTTCTCTGTTTCTTTTAAATACTCACTTGAAAGCCCAAATCATCGAAACGACATTTTTTTTTCTATCATATAAGAATTAAACCCCCGGAAGTTTAAGTCAGTTTTACTTTTTTATTTCTTTAATTAATTTTAGTAGTTTCAGACAGAATCTTAAGATAAATACGAAGCTGTGCTTCTTTAAATATTTTATTTTGCCCACATACATGTAATCATTGCACATTAAAAAAAACAAATCTTGTTTTAAATAATAATTATTTCGCAATGATTATAAACATTTCAAGGCCTCAGACAAAAACACCTCAGCGCGTTTTTTCTTTTACACTTCTCATTATTATTTGTTCTTTTTTTAAGACCCCGGATTTTTCTGCTTATTTAAAACAGACTACATTGAAATCAACAAGACGCAGAGATTTATAGATAAATGAACATTTGCTATTTTATAGTAAAGATTTCTAAGGAAAACTACATATAAATATGTGAAAATTAGCATCTGATATTTTTCTCCTTTAAATGATCCTAGAATAACTGCTGAAATTACGCTGCAGGACATTAAACATTTTGCTGGTTGTTCAAATTCATGTTTTAGAACTGTTCTAAAATTAACCAAAGTTTTGAAGCCATGTCACCTTCTTCTCGGGGCATACGTGTCTGCACAATAACACGAATGCATCATTTATTTAGGATTCGCGCAAATGTTAGGAAAAGGGAGAAACGAGAGGGAAATAAGGCACTGAGCTGCAGCCTAATGGAGCCCAGCTGAATTGGTCCCTGTAGCAGCTAGAAAGTGATCCGCCTTGGGGAGCGCAGAGCAGTTTGTCCGCCGGGTCCCTTGGGTGTTTCTCCGTCTCATCTCTGCAGCGACAGAATGCACGTATGTTTGTGGAGATTACAAGTTAATTGTTCATGGGGGACCGAGAGGAGAAAATCACATCACAGAGAGGCGTCGGGATTACAGGCTTCTAAATGTAGAAGATTATACATTCAGACCCCCTCCTCGGCCTCGCCGTATGCAAATGAGTGTGTGGATTAAAAAAAGTAAAGAAAGACAGAAAGAGAAAAGGAGACGAAGCCCTTTTGTAACTTATTTGGAGGGAAGAAAACACAAGTTTGGTGGCTAAGTCGAGAAAGAGTGAAAGAGTTCATTTTACGCTTCTTCTTCTTCTTCTTTTTGTCTTTAGGAATGAGTATAGCCTGTCTGTCCCTCGCAAGCTGCCAGATGGGATGTAAATAGCTGGGTAGCTGCAATGGCCTTTTAACCACACAACACTGAGGAGGATGTTGTCAAGGGAAGCTGGCGGTTTGCGAGTTAATAGTCATGAGTTGGGGTAATTACTTAAGGTTTATTATGCTCTGGTTTCAAAGGAAATAGACTCTTCAATGGGCCGAGAAATACTTCTTAATTCTGGCTAATTAGGAGCCGAGCAAAGCAGAGACAACTGCTGCTTCTGCTGCTACCAGAGAGGGAGAGCATTTGTAAGTAAGCCACAAAATAACGCACAAAACAATCATGCACATGCAAATGGCGTGCACAAGACACATCCGTGTTAAAGAGAGGAATGTAAACCAGCTTAAATTTGGAAGTGTACGTCCTGCTCTGATATGTCGATCACATGGCAACAGAAGCATCTTCCTGCCTTTGGCCTGCACATTGAAATGGAAGATTTCCCTCTTATTCTTCTGAAAGCTGGAAAGGTAAACAGAAAAACTAACTTGCAAGCAGCGAGTGAATTACAGGTTTTCTGTGTTTATCTAACAGAGGGGCTTATCTTCCTGGCAGGGCTCACAAAAATTATCCTCATTAGACGGAGACTTTTAGTTTTGTTTTAAATAAATCCCACTGATATTCAGATTTGTCTTTTTCATTAAGGCAAAAACAGGAGGAGAGAAGAGGATAATAATGCAACACAACAACAATAACAACATCAACACAAACGCAAAACTAAAAAGAAGAACTGATTATGTTAAGGACCAAAAAACTCAACTGGAAAAATAAAAACGGCTTTCAAATTTGGAAATTTTATGTATTTGAACACCTATTTGTTATACCAGAGGCAGTTAAACCAGAGAAGGTTGTTGGACAGCTGACTTTGGTCAGTTCTGCAGCAAACATCAAACTTAGAGAGTGTGCGAACAGAGAAATACAAATAACATAACATCATTAAAGCAACATTAATGCATTATAAGTGAAAAAGGTGTTTATTGCGGAAATTATATGGAAAATACCAAAAATACTTACAAAGAAAGCTCTAAACTATAAAAAATGAGATGCATATATATTTATATAGCACGTGGAAGAGGCTGTGAGATCAAATCTATCATTTCTACAGAAACTATCTGTGTTTTTGTTTGCAGGCTGGTCAGTGATCATAGGATGGACTCGTGGCCATCAGCTCTTCTTTTCATGAGGCTTGACAAATGACTGGCCCTTTACAGAGCACACACCTGTTACTGCAAGCCAGTCGAGGTTTATCACTTAGAGAAACACTGCTTTGTTCACCCTCTACACACACACACACACACACACACACACAACGAGAGGCCTTTTTTCTCCATTCTTAAACATGGATGCTAACAAGGCAACAAATACTGTCAGCCTCACTTGCTGGCCCTGTGACAAAGCTCCAACCTCCAAATCTGAAAATCCGCAAAGTTGTTTTAATTAAAACACCCCGACAGCTGCTTGCCAGCTCCATCACAGATATAGTTTTACAAAGCTGCAAATATAAGGGTTGTTTTAGAGGGGGGGGTGTCAGATATGCACAAACAGTAGGGGCATTTAAGGCTTTTATAACTCCAGAGTTTGTATAAACATGTCATTTGGCAGCCACAGACTGCTGTTGCATTGAGTGTGAAGAGTCCTGCCTGTGTGGAAGTGTATGAATGTGAAGTGGTCTTCTGGTTTGTTTACTTGGTCGGTCAGTGAGCTGCTGCCTGAGGGCAGCAATTGAAAATAAATTTCAGTTGAATAAGGGGCAGTGGCCGCATCAGCCGAGCTGCTGCTAGAACAAAAGCAGTTGAGGGGATAAGTTATTGACCGAGCTGACAGCCTGAACGAGGCTGATTATAACCGCCTGGTTATGCTCAGTGTGTGTGTGTGTCATAGTCATATTGAAGCAGGTGCAAAGTCCGTTCCCTCTCTGAGTTTACCTCGCTCCATCTTTCTCCCTTTCTGCCCTGAGGGAAGCTTCTGAGGCCTCTGCCCTAATGTCCTCAGCTGATTCCTTAAACTAATGTTTAACCCATACTGCCAAAGCAGAAAGCATATTTCCATCATAAGAGCGCTTTGCCATTGCCATTAGCGACTCAGCTCATTTGCATGTTAATTGTGCAGTTAGAGAAGTGGTGTTGACACTTCCCTTTGTCCAAGCAGGGTCGCGGAAAGTGAGAGGATGGGGCTGCAGAATGATAACCATGTGTGTTATTGTTTCGGGCTGGTTATATCATCTGTCATCACGGGACGTTTGAACACAATGGGAGATAGACTGAGTTAATTTCATAAGGTGCTATTTATTTATCATGTGAGAATTAAATAAAGTGTTTAGCTGTATTTAAAAAAAATAAATAAACAGGCAATAGGATAGCTCAAATCCGAACATTACTCCCAAATGAATTTGTCATAGTGTGAAAAGTAACACACATTTACTCGGGTAGTGAAATTTTGAGGCGTTTTGATTTGTGCACAGATGGTGAATTTCTGGGCCGATGCGGATACAGAAATATTTCCCATTTTTGCTCGTTTTTGTTTTCAGTAGCCCCCTTTTGTGTCAATGAAACGAAGAAATAGCCATTAAGAAAAATGACTGAACTATTCTAAAGGTTAAAACCTCTTCATCACACTTCATCTTTGAACATTTAGCTAACAAAAATATGGCAAAGGTTTACCACGGTGCATCCGTAGCTTTACTCAACCACATCTCAGGTATTCAATATTAATCTGAAAAACAAAACAAAACCTTTTTTTTTGCATCTTTAAATCTGTTTTCTCAGGTAAAGGTTATCTTCTCAAAAGTTTGAGTTAGTAAGTCAAACTTTTGGGACATACACAATGAAAAATTCTCTAAAATATTAATAATAATAAAGGTTTTAAATGCTTCTACATCAATTACAAAAGTAGTTCTCGGTCAACTTGACACAACTGCAACAAAGCCATCTTTCATCGTAGCAAACGCTCGCTTTCATTTAAGAAAATATCCGAGTTCTTCCTCCAATGAACGGCCATTTGTGCAGGATGGTCAATGTTATCAATTACGGGCTTAGAAAATAAACTGAAACATACAAACAACATTCCTGACAAAATGGACATGCTGTGTTTACACATACACAAACACACACACTTTCACTTGTCCGCATACAAGCCAGTTTTGGTGTGAATTTTGTGTGTTAAATACAGATTCAGCCAGACAGAAAGTGCCTGTGCGTGCGTATCTGTGTGTGTGCGTGTCTGTGTGTGTGTGTGCGTCAGCAGTAATATCCTCCTACAGTGACTGACAGATGGCGTTCAGTGTTTGGCCGTAAATGTGCTCTCTGAGTGTTTGTCTGTGTGCCAGTCGCCTGTAGTTTGGAGACTCCCTGTGAGAGTCTAACTGTCCTGACACTGTTCAAAACCAACTGTCCTTGATTGTCAACCGCAGATGAACCGTAGTGTATGTGTGCGTGCGTGGATGTGAGTGTGTATGTATGTAGATGCTGATGAGTGTGTATGCAGTGGCCTTCTGGAAGGAAGTGCTGAGCAGGCCAGGGGAGCAGATGTTAATGGGTGAGATATATCTATCTAAATCTCTGGCCACCACATGCTTCAAATCTGCCCAGAGGAACGGGTGTCTCTGCTTGACGACACGAGGCAAACTGTGCAGGAAAGGTTTTCTTTTTCTTTTACCTTTTTTGTCTAAAATATAGGAGACAGAGAGAAGATTTTGTGTGTGTCCTTATGTGTGTGTGCCAACCCCA